CGAGAGACACTGGCTTGGAATGTGGTGTCGTGTAGACTGCCATTGCTACACTTTGATTTGTTCGGGAAATAAAGCTGATTTTTTTTTATTACAGTCTTGTTTGCACAGTAAAGACAGATTATTTTGTGCCGACAATCTTGTTTGTGAAATAAAGAAAATAATTTTTGGTGACAAACTTTGTTTTTTAAAATAAAGACCGATATCTTGTGGTGACAATGGATCAAGGGGCCAGACCAAGACAACAGGGTGCGAGTGGTGATCCGTCAAGGTTATCGACACGTATACCGGATTATAAGAAGACTCCCAGCCCTATCTTCACCGAGCAAAGAGAAATAGGAAACTATAGTATTGACAACGAAGGGAAGTTTCATCATGATGCCCGGCAGCTGAGAAAATATGTCCCTCCGGAAGATAATAAAAATGTTAGGTTTGATGTGACGAGTGGCACTGAGGACGCGATACAGCGAGACGAGACGGACAATAGAGAGAAGTATAAAACATTTCTTCAGTGGATTGTGGAGGACAAGAACAGATTTCTGATGGAAAAGCCAGCAAAAACACACGGTTCTCGCCCAAAAGGGAACGGCCGATTCCACAGGTTTGTCTTAGTTAGGACACATCTTTTTCCAGTAATAGATCTAGTTTACTTCAAATGTATTAAAACCAGCGCTGAACCAAATTATGGACACCCACGTCTCTGATCTGTCTTCTCTGTTTATGATAAAAATTAAACTAATTCAAAATGAAAGCATGTCAGTTCAGAATTTATCACGCTATGTTGAGGCAAGGGCACATTATACTGTCTGCAGCGTGTTTTGTTATCAGAGAATGTGTGCATGTGACGCACGGCTTGTTATCGACAAACCTGCTTAATGCCCCCCGCTCCTTCCTAGACCGACACCGCCCACCGCCTCTCACCGTACCCGCAGCCTTACCACCCTCGCTCCCAACCTCCTCTACTTTCCACGTCCGCTAACCGCTCCTGATTTTTGGACGTGACGTGTCGTCCGATTCCTGGAAATGACGTGGCGCCTAGAGAAAATAACCTCGCCTTCCAGGACTTCAGTTTTCCTCCGACATGAACTTCAACATTTTCACTTTGACTGAAATATCTAAAAAGTTTATAAAATTGAAGGCCCTATAATCGATATGGAAGTGATTTTTCACACCTGGTGTGCGAATAAGAAATAATTCTATTCGCACAGGGCCGAGCCTACGTTGATTTTGGACCTCGTTTGTCACTCCCGGGTATCCCACCTTTTGACAAAGGCTTTAAATGTTAAAACAACTGTACACTAACTAGTAGAATATCATACTTGTTTAAGTTTTAGGGTTAAAGCATACACTACTCTCTCTCTCTCTCTCTCTCTCTCTCTCTCTCTCTCTCTCTCTCTCTCTCTCTCTCTCTCTCTCTCTCTCTCTCTCTCTCTCTCTCTCTCTCTCTCTGTCTCTCTCTCTCCTTCAAGGCGGAAGGGGAAGAAAAAAAAAAGAAAAAAAAGAGAGATCTGAGTCATTATCATTGACACAATACACAACTTGATTTCCTATTTGAGTGGGGGGGGGGGGGGGGGGGAAGGTTCGTATCGCATTGCACAATTAGAATTAGATCTATCCCTACCAAAAACAGCACATAACAAGATTGCTCACTCAGCCCGAAAAGTGTTGACAGAAGTCCGTGCAGTTCTCCAGATGGCGCTGGAGTCTTTATTTTGAAGCTCTCTTTCGTTTCTCCAGAAGAAGAATAGGATAAGCCCTGTGCGAATAACTACAGCAGATCTAGGTCCGCAGATTTAACTAAGCTATTAGCAGTTCTGCGGTTAGCTGACAAAGCCCCTGTTTTCATTTTTGGCTTCAACTATTTTTTATTTGCGAAATGGAAAGCCTACTTGAGTGGAAAAAAAGTCACAGTGAAATAGTGAGTAGTTTTTGAATAAATTAGAATTTAAATTTAGAAAGAACACCTTTTTAAAATGTTTACACAAACAGAAAACCTCTTCTTCTCGAAACTACTGTAAAAAAAAAAAGAAGACATTTTGTGAGGCAGCGCGGTGGAATCAGGCTCTCGTCAAAATAATTAAAGTGAAGAAACTTGCATTTTTCCGCAGGTTTGTGAATTTTTATCAACTTTTTGTTTTTTGGCTCAACACCTTTCATTCCCATTAAAAAACTCATTTCTGTGTGGATTTTTTTTAAAAACGTTGATTAAAGGCACAACAAATTTTAATTTTCAGTTACCACGGACTCTTAAGCTAAGGAAATAACTAATCTTTGGCGGCAATTTTCTCACTAATTTTACCTCTGAAAACAAGTGACCCCCACCTCCTTCTTTCGCAAATATCTCGACTTGTCTTCAAGATAATTGGATAGTTTTTTCGTCCAAATAAAGACAAGTGAACAATCTTTAAGACGATACCAATAACTATACATGCCCAAAAATTGACGAGAGCCTGATTCCACCACGCTGCCTCACATTTTGTGAGCGTATGGCAGAGCTAGAAGTATCTATAAGCAGCTTGCCCTTTGAACTTCACCAGCCTGAACAGAACTTTACAGGATCTGGTATTCAATTAGAAAATCTTTAAACTGACCGTGTTCCAAAGAATTGTCAAAGCCAATGAGCTACATCAGAATTACAAAGTTGTATCTGTGATATTTTTTGCCGTTTTGAGTCATTAAGACCAAGAGGTCAGAAATCATACGATTTGTTTCTTTTTGTTTGTTTTTTCTTTAAAAAGTTCAAGAGCAACGGAACAAAACAAAAACTCCCTTTGAGATAGCAGAAGTGCACCACACTCATCCAACAACCTGTAAAATATTTAAGTGGCCGGGAGATAATGAGTAGCCTTTAGATGGAGCAGTTTTAAAAAAAGAACTAAAATATTCTTAAAATAGAGATAAAAATCTTTTCTGACATGAAAATCTAAAAAAAAGACCCAGGTAAAGGGCAATAAAGTTCTTAATATCGACGGGAAGGACTTACGGATTATCAAAAACATGTACTGGGATCAAACGGCTGCAATGAGAATAGAAAACGACATCAGCGAATACATACAGATTGAAAGAGGAGTCAGACAAGGATGTGTACTTTCTCCAGACTTGTTCTCCCTGTATAGTGAAAATATCATGAGACACATAGAAGAAATGCTTGGTATCTCGATAGGGGGACATAATATAAACAATCTAAGATATGCAGATGACACAGTCCTAATAGCAGAAGATGAAGAACACCTGCAGAATCTATTAAATGTCATCGTACAAGAGAGTGACAACATGGGCTTAAACCTAAACATCAAGAAAACCGAAACGATGGTGATAAGCAGAAATACTCCAATCCCAACATGCAATATCAAAATCAATGATACCACCCTCAAGCAAGTACAACATTTTAGATATTTGGGGACCATTATATCATCAGATGGTAGATGTCACATCGAAATTAAAAGCCGCATTTGCCAAGCAAAAGCAACCTTCCACAAGATGAAACAGATACTAACAAACATCAATCTGTCACTGGAAATGAGGAAAAGAGTATTGAAAAGCTACATCGAGCCAATCCTATTATACGGGTGCGAAGCATGGACAATCAATAAACAGCTGGAAAAAACAATTGTTGCGGCAGAGTTGTGGTTCATGAGACGCATGCTACGTATCCCATGGACAGCTAGAAAAACAAATGAAGAAGTCCTGGTTGAAACAAATTATAGAAAACAACTTATCACGAATATAAGAAAACGACAGGCAAATTTTTTCGGACACACAATGCGGAAAGAAGCATTAGAGAACATTGTAACAACAGGAAAGTTTGATGGAAAGAGAGGTAGAGGCAGACAGAGGGAAAAGATACTGGACAAGATGACAACATGGTTGGGAGCAGCAAGAACAACAGACACCATTGCTGCTTCGAAAGACAGATGGAAGTGGAGGTCCATGATCGCCCACGCCAGTCGGCAAGGCACCGGATGATGATGAAAGGGCAATAGCTCGTTTATTATCATTTGCTTCAATTTTTTTTTTAAAGATTCAAACGAATAGGCTTCAACCAAGAGGACCTAAAATGATATAATAAATATATTATTATAATCAGTCCATGCTTTCGAGAACTATCAACTTTTTAAAATATTAACGAACATTGGGTAAAAAAAAAACACAAAACGAGCATTATTTCTTAAAAGCATTCAGCTTCAAGGGCGTGACTTGCCCGTTGTTGTCTCAAGACAAGGATGGTAAAACCATGACTGTCAGTTGTATCAGATAGATAGGCCTATAATTCACCGTGTTGAGAAAGTTTAGGAAAAATTTGATGAGGAAAAAGGGCTATGTTGTTGAAAAGTTTGCAGTGTGATGGGGCAACGCTCCACACGTAAAGAGTGGCCCTAGCATGGTTGCAAGAAAGGTTTGGGAAACAACTTATCTTCGGAGAGCTTACAAATGAATGGTAACCACATTACCTCGACTTGAACCGCCTATACTATTTCGCGTTTTAAATTCAGAGTCAAGACACAAACAATCAATCAATTGAAACTCAATGTTGAATGGCAGGTCCAAAGAGTCGACTTGGAAACATGCTAGATTTCTATTCAAAATGTCCGTGACAAGCTGTAGATTTTTAAGGCAACAGTTTGGTTAGAGGTATTGATGGGGGGAAAAAATAAATTTCAGTTTGTTTTTTCAAGTCAAGGAGATCAAGAAATTCAATGTCTGTAGATCATTCAGATGTCACCCTAAGAAATGGTATTTATCTTTGTCGAGATAACAACAAATAACAACTGATAAAAACAGAAAACAACTGATAACAACAAATAACAACTGATAACAGAAATAACAACAGACAACAATAAAATAACAACAAATATCAACACAAATGTCCTAATGTTTTTTTTCCCCCCGATAAATTGTTCCTTTCGATCGACAAATATCTACCCAAACGTGGTAATTTAGTTACATTAACTTGCTTTTTAAGGTAGTCAGTTGTTATTTGTTGTTATCAGTTGTTATTTGTTGTTATCTCGACAAAGATAAATACTGGTATAACAGATAACAAAAAATAACAACTGATACTGATAACAACAAATAACAACTGATACTGATAACAACAAATAACAACTGATACTGATAACAACAAATAACAACTGATACTGATAACAACAAATAACAACTGATAAAAATAAAATAACGACAAATGTCAACACAAACGTCCTAATTTAGTTACTTTTACTTGTTTTTTTTAAGGTAGTCAGTTGTTATTTGTTGTTATCAGTTGTTGTCAGTGGTTATTTGTTGTAATCAGTTGTTATCTGTTGTTATCAGTTGTTATTTGTTGTTATCTCGACAAAGATAACTAGGCCTACCGCTAAGAATTGCATTTGTCTTTTCTTTATTGCTATTTTTATCAGTCGCCAGTTGCGACTTTTGCTGATGTAAATTGTAAATGGCTTAGTATTGTGCCTCAAGACAGTAAACCGTTCCAATATTAAACCACTGTTCGTTTCATTAAATATCACTGTATTCAGTTGAACTTGGTGGCTAATGAAAGGGGATTTTGTCCTCTTTTCAGCTGTACCAAAACCTCCAAGTATGAAATGAGGGCATGCACGTAATGGACCAAGCCTCTAATTGTGAAATGTTTTCATTTAAAAAAGACATTTTTTAAAAATTTAGGGGGGGGGGGGGGTTGGTAAGTGTTTTGCGGTGCTTGCAATTGCATAAGGTCACATGAGCTCGCGGGACTCATTAAACATTTTCAGTTGGTATGAAATTTTGAATTTTGCCCGGGTGGCTGCTCAAGCCTACTCTAATCGATTTTAGACCGCCCAGGGATCTTTCATGTGGGCAACTTGCATACGGGACCTCCGAGATTTTTCGCCCTTGTCTTAGGAGGCTAGGTGTAGATTTTTCCTACTAGAAGATCAGGGGTGTGGCTGAAAGATAGCAGTAAAAAGGAGCCAAAAAGGAGCTGTAGAAAGGCTGCAGAAAGAGTCGGGAGCCCTGAGGGGACAAAGGAGGTGAGGGGGTGGGGGCAGAGAATGGAGACGAAATCAGACAACAGAACATTGGTGGACAGCAGGAAAATAAGGGAAAGAAGACAATTTTAGAGAAGAAAATGTTTCGGTTGCCACCAGGATTCGAACCCGGGACCTTTGAATGACAGGTGAACACCTTAACCTCTAGGCCATGAACCCCCCCCCCCCCCCCCCCAAATGTTCCAAGTACCTAGTGCACCAAAACCTCAAGTTATGAAATGAGTACATGTACGTTGTGGACCTTGCTGTCAGGACTCATCTCCATTGCTTGGTCGTGCTAGTGTTTGACGGCTTAGGTAGGAACACGAGTTACGTTCCTTTGTTTTGTCTCATTTATTCTTTCTTACCCAGTTTGTCTCCAGATTTTGTTTGCACCAGAGGTCTGGTCAGCCGAGTGCTTTGTGTGCCTTATGAAAACAACAATGTGCTTGAGTTGTCTGTCATCAAGTTCCGAGGCACATACTTTTTGTGTGAGGGTGATTATCCCTTCACCGGGGAAGCGAATGTGTGGGGCTATAGATTCGAGCAATACGTCACTGCAGGTAAGTAATCCATGTCTGTGCCATTCGGTAATCCGATGTGTTGAATCTGACTTTCCTAGCCAGGTGAATTACGCTTGAGTCTGAAGCTGGGAATAAAAACACATCGGGAAACTTTATGGAAAAAATGCCTTAATTTTGTGAGGCAGCGTGGTAGAATCAAGCTCTCATCAACTTTTGAGCATGTAGAGTTATTGGTATCATCTTAAAGCTTGTTCACTTGTCTTTATTTGGATGAACAAAATATCCATTTATCTTGATTGCAAGTTGAGATTTTTGCGAATGAAGGAGGTGGGGGTCACCTGTTTTCAGAGGTAAAATTAGTGAGAAAACGGCTACCAAAGATTAGTTATTTCCTTAGATTAAGAGTCCGTGGCAACTGAAAATTTACATTTATTGTACCTTTAATCAACGCTTTTCAGAAAAATCCACCCAGAAATGAGTTCTTTAATGGTCATGAAAGGTGTTGAACCAAAAAACAAAATTTTGATAAAGCTTCACAAACCTGCAGAAAAATGCAAGTTTCTTCATTTTGATTATTTTTGACGAGAGCCTGACTCCACAACGCTGCCTCACCTTTGTTCCCGAAACTATGAGAATAGATCATTTCAGAGGGGTTCTTTTCTATTGTTGTGTTGTATGATGTCTTTCTGTTCTCGAAAACGTTTTTTTTTCTTTTCCCGTTGAGGAATGGACAGTGGACATAAACATTTCCTCACGTTAGCTAGACCACAATCCCAGTGAGCAGTTTATGGAGTGATTTAAGCAGGCGTTAAAACGTCACTACTTTATAATTATAAACTTCCGGAGCACCGGGGAACAGCGACTCTATTTTTAAAAACAGGAAAAAATTTGTCCGGGGAACAGCGACTGCCCTAAGCGTTGATTAAAGGTACAATAAATGTAAATTTTCAGTTGCCACGGACTCTTAATCTAAGGAAATAACTAATCTTTGGTAGCCGTCGTGATGGTATTGATGATGGTATCGATACACCCGCGGCCCGACAAAAAGATTGTTAAATAAAACATTTAAAACTATGTCTAATCGTAAAAATAATATCAAAATCGGAACCAGGGTGTCCAAATTAACAAAATAATTCGCGGTTGACTGTTTTTCTTGCTGGATTTAGAAGATCACAAAAAGAAGTATTATATAGATTCTACCAAGATTGCATCTTGTAGTATTTTCCTATCATAAAGAGGACAGACAACAGTCACTTTTTAACTGATCTCATAACAGACACCCCCCCCCCCACACCTTCAGTGGGAAGTGACACGTGGGAGGCTGTGAGACAAAATTCCTTTGAAGTTTGCCGCCCCACGGGATTAAACTTTGCTCGCAGAATTTTCAAAATAATTATCGCAGCTAAAACTGATTTCATTTTCGAAATCGGCGTATCAAAATAAGCAAAGTTGCTCTCGTGGAACCTGATTTTATGCCATATTTTAAAACTTGAGCAACTTTTTTTTCAATTATCTATTTTCAATATAAAGTTAGGTATCAAGGTCACCCAGTGCGTTGTAAGTGCATCTGACGTCAAAGCTGTTAGGACTACACACTGCACACTAGGCTAGATGTCTACTATCTACTACTGCACAGTCACTGAACAGTGTACAGTAGGCCTATTGTGACTTGGTCGAAAGAATCTCTTATTCTCTTTATTGAGATGTTGAGGCCTACAGATCCCTCGAATGTCTGTGCACGATTAAGTCCTGAGACTACAATAACAAATTATTAAAAGAGGGCGTAGGGAGAGCTTGTGTCATTAGAATTTTGCAACTAATAACTTCGTGGGCCTCTTTTTACGTTTGTTGAGTAACAACACACAGAATGCAGGCAAACTGTTGCGAAGAGTCATCTGGCTCAAGAAGAAGGAATCTCCCCCAATTTAAAGGGAATTGGACACTATAAAATGGAACGTTTAAACAGAATGAGAATGGAGTTTGATCAATCTGACAGTTCTACTATACGAAGAATGTAATACGATTTATCGCTGAGAGTTACTTGGGCTTTACATATTAACCCTTTTCATGGCAACCTATTTATATCCCTTTGACCGACAACTGGGTGTAACACACCCGCACATGTATTATACAGTGGGTTCCAAAAGAAACTTGATAATGTAATCACCCAATAATCGGGTTAAAGCCTTGCACTACCCACTCATATAACGTACCAATTTAAAGCTAAATAAATTCTGCATCATCTGACATAATAATATTTATTCTATGTTAAGAGATGCTCGATATAATACTATGATCACTCAAAATTGACCGTAAACAATCAGGCTTGGCAAAAATTGTGCGAAATCACAGAAACGTTGTTTTCGCGCGTGTATTGGAGACCATCAATATTGATAGAATGGACATACATTGCATATCCAATGAATGGAGAATTTGTTTCTCAGAAATAAACAATATTTATTGTCGATAGTTTCAATTTCAAACAAAACAGAAAACAGAGTAATCACAAATACCACAAAAACTTGGACTTAACATTAAATATTGTACTCATTGTGATTTTGTGTAGGAGCCATTGGTTTTGTGTAGTGCAAGAACCCATAGGGCATCGACTCTGCTAAATTTTGGACAATTATCAGTCATTTCATCCCAGATGTCACAGACGGTTGCAAACGAAGGGTTTGAATTGGGAGCAACGTCAATTTTCTTCAGATGCTGTTGCATGGGATTTCACATACCTGTAGGATTCATATCGGGCTATTTACTGGTGACTATACTCCAACGTTGATATGATATAATTTTCAAAGAATTGTCTCGTGATAATATTGGCCCATTTAGAAAGTGATTTGGCCATGGATAGAGATGTCTACTTGAATGACAATATGAGGGAAATAAGGGTAAGACATGACATTCCAACACTTGCACGATGTAGTCAGCTACAGCAAGCCATCCGATGATTCACATGCGGACGATTTTGTTCATTCCGTCCCACCACACCAAAAATGGCAGTTTCGTGGCCTCTGCTCTCACTGACAGATGATTTTTCCTAAATCTAACTTACACAGCCATGTTCTAAAAGGTGTGTGCTCTACAAGAAGACCAATAGCTCCTAAACAAAAACAAAAGCATACTAATGAGCATATGCAATGTTAAGTCTGAGTTCAGCATGGTATTTGTAAGTAGTCAGTTTTCCAACTTGTTTGAAAATATATTTCAGAACATGCCGCTCATTGCAGAGACAATAATATTTCTTTTCATTTGATATTCAATACATATCCATTCTACCAACGTTGATGAACCCCAATACACGCATGAACACACTCTTACGTTTCTTTGATTTCGCCCAATTTTGCCAAGCCTGGGTTTTTAAGGTCAATTTTAAATGACCATATCTCGAGCATCTCTTTACATAAGTGAAATATTATTGTGTCAGATGATGCAGGATTTATTCAGCTTTAAATTGGCATACAGCATGAATG